CGCACTTCTTACAACAAATCAATAAAATTCCTTTTAATTGTATTTAGAATGTGTTTTTATAACTATTCTAGCTCTTGTATTAATAAAAGAGTTATAATGGTTATAAAAACACATGCTAAATACAATTAATATGACTTTTATTGATCCAACCACAGTCTTTCATATCAGTGTTATGATCCAACCACAGTCTTTCATATCAATGATGTGATCCAACCACGGTCTTTCATATCAGTGCTATGATCTAACCATAGTCTCGCATGCAAATCATAAAGTCATATGTAGTCAGGGATCAGATAGACAGTCGAACAGAAGACCCACCCGAGAGCGAACAATCAAACAAGAACATCACAATCAGGTATTAGACAAAGAGTTCTCAGGCTATCCGACTTAAACTACATAGAACCTAATCCTTCACTATCACATAATCATGTCACATAAACACATGGCAAATACTAGCATGTATATACCCTTAGAAACTAGCCATTCCTAGTTCACTGCCATTGACCACTTCTCAATTAAGTCCTTTGGTGGCCAGTCATATATAACCCTAATAATTGGTCTACTCCAATTACCCTAACCAACCATAACTCCTATCAGTACCATAAGTACCATACGATCTACAGTCAATAGCCTATCAGCTTAGCATACCGAGACACCAAGTGTCCTAAACTGCACATACATACAAAGAAGTTATCCTGGGCACTAGCATACTTGTACTGTAACAGCACCTCTATCCTATCATGCAAAGACATACAATAGGATATGTGGCATAGTGAGAAACACACCTGAATTGCAGAACTAGAGAATCACATCAACACACTAACTCCTTGCACTGATCAATCCCTCGAACCTACTAACACCATGATAGATAAATCCTCAAGCTACAACCCAAATCCTCCAAGTTTGAACCTAGGTTAAACTTGTCAAAAGTTAACGGTTAACCCAGTCAAAGTCAGCGATACTTCGTGGTCCTTCCTTCACCACGTCGTGGAAATGTCAAGATCAACAGTCAACATTCATGACATTGCCACATCGTGGACCCTCTTTGGCCACGTTGTGGCAATGGCTGGAGAAACAGTCGCGGATCCAAACATTCACCATGTCATGGCTATCCATTGGTCATGTTGTGGTCACTAGCAGAATGTCATTTCTCTCATTAATAGCTTAATCCTTACAGATCAAGGCTCATACTTCCATATCTACTTCTTCTCAATGACTTAATGAATAAAGTTTCCAAATTTATCCATTAGGACTCCACCCCAAGGCAAGATCTTAAACCCTAAGTCCATTAAGCTCTTAATATGCCCAAAACTTGAACATGGGACCAAGAACACTCAAGTTATGACCCCTTTTTATCCATTACAGAAGTTCATGAGCACAAGAGTCCTATAATAAGCTCTAGAGTTTCCCTAAACTCCAAGAGCTTCCAAGAAGGGAAAAACCCCTCATTAAAGATCTTAAACATGAATCTTGAAAGAACAAGGTCAAGATGCAAGATTTTTACCTCCAAAGGTCCATAAACTTGAAGAAGATGATGGACCTAGTCTTGCTCTATGCTTCCTTGCACCAAGAAAGACTTCTTTTCTTCACAAGCTTCACTAAGACCAGAGGAACAACTTCAAAATCTAGCCACCAAGCTCATAACTATGGAAGAGGGGTTAGGGTTTTGTTTTAAGAAGATTGAGGCTAAAGGGATGCCCTAAAGTGGGACTTAAGGTGCTTAAATGTAACACCCAAAAATTTCAAGACAAATTTGAACTTTTAAAACATTTCAACCCATAAAAAAATCATTACAACTTTGTTTTCAAAATTTATAATATCAGAGTTTTTCCCAGAAACATAAACAAATCATAAGGAGCTGTACGATCATGCATTCGCCTTGCCGCGATCCCCTGATGTACCTGAAACAACAAACTGAAATTGTAAGCTCGAAAGCTTAATGAGTTTCCCCCAAAATACCAACGCCATACCAATATAACCACAACAAATAACAATTACAGATCAGCATGCATAATGAGCCTTCAGCCTGAATGGACCGCCTCACAGGGCCTACAGCCTATCTGGACCGCTCCCGAGCCTTCGGCATGACTGGACCGCCTCACAGGGCCTACAGCCTATCCGGACCGCTCCCCGGGTATGTTGGCCTACAACACAAATCAGGACCGCCTCAACCCAACCCCCAATCAAACAAACATGTGCACATAAATATCATACGCTAGCTCATATCATATAACAGTCAAACCGATCTAACAGATCACTAATCATAGCAACATCCCAATAACCGAGATACAGACCTAACCGGTCACTAACATAGCATCATCCTATAACCAGGACACTGACCTAACCAGGTCACTAAGCATAAGCATACCATCATCCTAACTACCAGGATGTAATCATTAAACATATCATGCCATAATCCAGATACAATATATAAAGGGCCGGCCTTGGTGCCTTAGACCCATTGGTATAGTGAGGATAACTCACCTTGCAAATGTCGACTCGAAAGATAAGCTCGCACTCTCGGATCACTGCCGAAAACTCCACCACCTATAATCGCCATACAACCATGTTCATAAGTTCCCAAAATGCCCCCAAAAGTCCAAAAGTCAACCTATGGTCAAAGTCAAAGTCAACTGCCAAGGTCAACAATCCATGTTGACCTGAACTCGTTGAGTGCAACTAGACACTCGCCGAGTTCCTTGCATAATTAACCCTCTCGCCGAGTCACTCTACTGACTCGCCAAGCCTACGACAATCTTCATCGGACTCGCCGAGTTGTTCATCCAACCCGTCGAGTTCATGACCATCTTCATATGACTCGCCGAGTCTACCATGCGACTCGCCGAGTCCCTGCAATCCTCCATCCTTACAGGTGCTTTTCTAAGCCATGCAAAGGCTCCATATTGCAGATCTAAGCTCCTAGGGCATGTTTATCACGTAAAGTTGCAAACTTTATGTGCATGCAAGATGATAATGCCCCAAAACAAGCTAAAGGAGTGGCTTAAGGTAAGGGAAAGGTCATAGCTTGACAAAGACTGAAACTTTATGACAAATAGGGGCTAAAGGAGTCCAGATCTGAGGTTGCAAACCTCAGATCTTGACCCAAATCGGAGAACCACCTCAAAACCCCAAAAAGGGCTCTAAACCCATAAATGAAGAGATCTAACCAAAGGAGAGTCAAGGTAACAACTTGTTACCTTCAAAACGATGCCAATACAGAGAAGAATTCGGATCTACAACAGCCCCTTGCTTCAAACTTCTTGAACTCCAAGTCCTTTACTCTAAGAATCTTCTTTCAAGATAAGAAGCACACAAAAATAGAGGGAAAGCACAATTAGGGTTTCTGAATTCGAGGGAGGCAGTAAGAGAGGTTAGGGGGAATAAGTGATCCTTAAATAGGGTGCAAAACCCCAGAAATTAGGGTTTCATCCTCCAGCTCCTACTCGTCGAGTCCCTTCTTGGACTCGGCGAGTAGGTCACTAAAACACGCGGACCAACCCGCTGCTACTCGACGAGTAGGGCAACCAACTCGTCGAGTAGACCTTGAAATCAATAAAATTCTTATATAAAATCGATACCTGAGAATCGGGGCGTTACATTAAATATGGGAGAACCCATAAAATCCATGGCTTTGGGCTGCAACGCTTGCCACGTCATAGCGCTCACCCAAAACACGTGATCCATAAAATCTCTGTCACGTTGTGGTCATCCATGCACCACGTCGTGGCAAAGGTTTTTCTCCAAAACTCCATCTTTGATCCCATAAGTCTTTAACTGATCCACTATGAAAAACGGATGTTAAAAAAAATCCCAAAAATGATATATAAATTATCATTATTGTGTTTTTTAATAAGAAAAAATGAATTTTTAGTGAATATGATGTAGTTAGTATCTTTATTTTAAGTTTTTTAATAAATAAATATAAGTTCTTCAAATAAATTTAGTATATATGAAAAGAAAATTTTCGTCGTCATTGACTTTTTTTTACAATTTAACCCTTAAAACTAGGACTCACAGGTTACAAGGGTTATTTTATAAATATTTACTAGTTTCAATGGTTAAATTGCAAAAATAAAATAAAGTAAAATAAAATAAAACAAAATAAAAAAAAACAAAATAGAATAGAATAAAAAAACAAAAGAGAGATGACTATTTGTCAATAGAGACAAAATATAGGGATTACTATTTGTCAACAGAGACAAAATATAGGGATTTTTATGCAGATTTCTTTATGATCTTCACAACCACCATGAATACATGATCTAACAAAGTCAAACAATGTGATGAAACTCGTCATTTCAAAGGTATATCGTTGAGTTGAATCAAACTTGCTACTTTTAGAAACCAAATTTGATGAATATTTGAGTGTAAAGACACTTGTCATTATATGTATACTTACAAGTGTGCATATGGACTAGTTTGGCTGAAACTAGACCGAAAACAAATAGATGAATAATACTAAATAGTATATTCACCATAAACCATTCTTATGTCACATGAGACCACTTAAATTATAGTTTAGAGTTGCTTTGGTTTTAAACAAGCCGGTAAAACGAATATAAACTTGGGATTTTCTATTTTGAAAATATAATCAACTATAACATTTGAAACTTAGTATATGTAAGTTTTTAATTAAAATCAATTCGATTTTGATGCGTTACTTGGTTTTGGGTTCCAAATTTTAATTTACAAAGCCTAGTTTTAATTAAGTTTTAACTCGATTATTTTACCACATTTAATTTATGATCTTCACAACCACCATGAAAACGTGATCTAAGAAAATTGATGATTGATGAAACTGAGTTCAAAGGCATATCGTCTACTCGAATCAAACTTGCTACTTTTAGAAACCAAACTTGATGAACATTTGAGTCTAAAGACACTTGTCATATTTACTTCCTACGTGCCCAAATACACCTACAAAGATGACATCCAATATCCCCAACATCACCGATCACCTCGTACTATAAATCACCCACACGATCACACCCCACCCCATCACCAACACAACACAAAAAGCAAATATGAAAGGAGCAACTGTAGCAATGTTGGCAATGATAGCCATGGCTCTACTCATGGTGCACCAAACAGAAGCCATTAGTTGCGGTGACCTTGCTAACATGATCAGCCCATGTTTAGGGTACCTGCAATCAGGAGGTTCACCGACGAAGCAATGTTGTGATGGCGCCAGGAAGGTTCAGGGTGCCACTCACAGCCAAGCTGACAGGCGAACAGCTTGCAATTGTGCCAAAAGCGCCGCCGGACAGTTCAAAGTTAGACAGGATACCGCCTCTAATCTGCCGGGCAAGTGTGGTATCTCCACCTCCATTCCCATCAACCCAAACGTCGACTGTAACAGGTGAGAGTTTGTATACTTGTGTGGAATGTTTGTTTAATTGGATTTATAGTTAATTAATGTAAGGATTTGGTGACTGGATTTCTTTAATGGTGCAGCATTCCTTGAGGTGGTGGTTACATGAATAATAAATAATGGAGGAGCTACGACGTGGTGTGCATGGTGTATCGCCGCCGGAATAAATAAACGTGTAGTTGTTTCTTTGTTTTGTTTTATATGTTGTCTTGAGTCTGGTATTGTATGTAAGTTGTGCCTACAGTGGTTAGGCTAGGTCATGCCCTCTATGGCCTTGCCTTATTAAATAAAACTGTCAACTTTCTGTCACATATCATCTTACACCTTTTTTTTTTATAGATTATTTAAAATAATTGGAGACTAAGATAACGCATTAAATCTAAAAGTTTAATCAAAAATAAAAAAATAAAAATAAAAAATACAACTAGATAAATAACATCAAAAATGACATATACATATCGCTAGACATTCATTTTTCAAAATCATAATTTTTTAAAATGTTAAATATAGTGTAAGGGTATAAAACATTAGATGAAGACGAAGTGTATGATGACAAAATGTAAGTGTTACATGCGTATGTATTAGTAACATAACATTCCCCATACATAATAAAAACAACATAACATACACCAACAAGATCAACGTAGTAAAAAAATGACATATCAACATAGCCATCCATTTTCACTATTCAACCACTTATACATTCAAACATGTCCCCAAACTATCCTCGGATCACTAGTTAGTCACCATCCATTTTGTTTTCATATGAGAACTATCCTTAGTTCACTTGATAGTTTGTCATGTTATCATCACATCTGTCCCCAAACTATCCTCGGATCACTAGATAGTCACTATCCATTTTGTTTTCATATAAGAACTATCCTTGGTTCTCTTGATAGTTTGTCATGTTATCATCACATCAACACAATCTCGAAACACTAGCTAAGCAGCTAGTGTTGAGCTTTCATTCACTTGGCAATGCCTTGTGAACCCTTTCCATGGATATTTACCTAGGAATTACTAGGTAGTCCCACATAGATACACAAACTCTCTACCCTCATCCTAGGTAGACTCTAATCATATGCATCATCACTATAATATATTCTTATGTCCGATTTACCTGATTCTTTTTGTTTGTCGTATTTTGATCTTAGGTATGCGTATTAATAACCAAATCACGAATCTTAAACACATATTTGACTTGTAGGAATCCAAAGTATCACACATAACTTACAAAGTTTTACCATTTTATAATATCCTACATTCTAATATTGATTAATGTACCTATATGGTATAAAACCATCATCGCAACAAACTCACAACATAAACATTCCCATTATTCAAAAGCTTACCTTTTTCAAGTTTACGTGTGTTACACCCACAAAATTTGCTCTAAAACAAACGTCATACAAAACTTGGACAAGTACAACGGCTAACAGTAAGTCACTTAAAGATCTTTGGGTGTATAGTATGTGCTGTGGCAATATATTATTCAACCAAATTTGATGAAAATATGAGAATAATCTCTTGCATATTTTTCTTTCTTAAAAGATTCCCACTTTTACAATCATTTTTATCTCTCGTTACTTTTTAATTGCAAAACCGGATCAAATTATGCAAAAATGCATAGAAACAAATCCCATAAATTATATAAATTTTCTCATCTAAGAAGAAAATAAGGATCGAAACGATCCCACCCAACTTCATCCCCGGTCAACTCACTGGTCAAACAGCCAGCATTTTCACCCAATGATTCCTCATGTAGTCTAACAACCGATAAAAACAAGTTACAAATAAGAGGGTTACCAAGGAAAGGTTTAATAGCATCTTTAAGATCCGCCATTTCTAACAAACCGGAACCGGAATCGGAATTGGAATTGGAATCGGAAACGGAACCGATGTTGTTTGACTTTGACTTGAAAATACACCGTGACAAAGCATAAACACCAAGAAGATTCGAATAAACCGGCAAAAACGCATCTTTATGGTTACCCAAACCGCCAATCCACTTCACCGCCTGCTTCCCACCAAGGTCTCCGGAAACCACCATAAACCGCCGCAAGAATCTCCTCCGCCATTCATATAACAAATCCAAACCTCCAGACACCGGAAGCTTCTCCAAATGCAAACAACAAATCTGACAAATAAGCAACTTCTCTTCATGATGATTATCAATCTCCTTATCAAAAACACGTCTCACAAGATCCCCACGTGACACAACATTTTCAGAACCACTCAACACCCAATCACAAAGATAGTCAAAGTAGTCAACCCATTGACCAAAAACCGAAGTCAAATACTCAAAACTCGAGATTATCACTTTATCGACTTGGCTCGGGATTCCGTATGTTTCCGAGGTGAAACACTTTTGAACATCGGTTGCTAGTTTGCTTCTAAGAGAAGCATCCTCGTCTTCTAGAAGCTTTATACACACAGACCACAAATCAAGTGTTCTAGAAGCATACATGTTAATAATGGAAGTGTCTAGATCACGATCAAAGTCAACATGTTGACCAATGAAGTCAACCGTTTGAAGTAACCCAGATGCGATTATCGATTCGGAAACCGCTTTCCTGATGTTAACAGGCTCTGACGCGTTTGAATGTAGTTTGACCAGGTCAACATAGTAGCTGATGCTATCGTACACTTCATGGTTATTCCTCATGAACATGTTAGCAAACTGTTTTACACAAACTGCCATACAACATAGAATCGTTTCGCGGGTCTTCATATGTCGGGTGAGTTTGTATAACGAAACTAGTTTCTCCCAGAAGAGGAGTACGGAATCGGAATCGGTGATTCCCGGGAATCTTGATTCCGGAGATGATTTGTGGAAAGCGAAGAGTATTTTTAAAATGTAGTAAACACATTTGTGATTCCTTTCTAAAGACAAAAGATTCACCATTTCCGTATGGAGATGGAGATTCATCCACTCGATCAAGACTCCGGAACCGGAATTGGATTCCGAGGTTTTAAGAAACAGAAGAAGCCATTTGAACGTTGCGATTCGAACTTCATAAGATGGATCGGAAAAACACCGGATTAATCGATCTTGAATCTGTGATTCATGTTGGATCGAATTAAAATACGAAGTGGCAGCTTGTTTTCGGCATTCGGATATTGTCGGATCGAAATAAGGTAATCCAAAAGAAGCTTCCATATCCAAGCTTCTAGAAGATAAATCCGAAAGAAGATCGCGAATTTTGCCAAAGCTTTTGCTTCCATCGTACGTTTTCGCAATACTTAGCATGATATCAAGAACCCGTAAGAAACTCGTAACAAGCGTCGGGCAGGTCGGGCGGGTTTCCGGGTAGGCGATGGAAGAACGTGTGACGAGGGTTTCAACTAACTCATCTAGAATCTGATCTTTTTTATCAGAATCTATTAAGTTTCTGCAATTGATATCGAGAAGAGAGATTAGTTGTAGGAGTAAGCCGTGAATTGTGTTTGAAGAAACGGGAGGATTTGTTTTTGTTGTGGAAGGTGGTAGGTCGTTGACTGTGTTGACTAAAATGAGGGGGAGTTTTTCGTTTGAGATTAAACCGGTTAAAGCGCGTGAAGCAAGGACACGGACTCGAAGGTTGCTTTGAGTGGAGCATTTTCTGATGAAGGGGGTGAATAAAAAGGGGTCCAATTCGTCTCCGGATTCACTTGCAATTGTTGAAGGCTTGAGCCGGGATAAGAGAATTAGCATGGGACATAGGCTTGGGTGCACCGCTTGAGCCAGGTCACGTGAGCCGGTGGTTAGCAGCTCAGTGGCTATTTTTAGTTCGCTGTATAAGAATGGATGCAATGATGGGTACCTTCACACACACAAAAAAAAAAAAAACATAAATAATTTTTTTAGTGAATTACGAAACTGCTCTGACAATTTTTTACTGGGTTTATTTAGTCATTAATTGATTCTGTTCCATGTGTCATTTATTTTAACGACCCGTTTGTTAAATTTGTAAAATCACCATTTTGTCCTTTAAAAAAGTTTTCCATTTTTTACCTAAAATTTATCAGAATTGATGATTTTGATTAATCCAACCTAAATGACATCATATTCAAAATCTTCAGTATCGAAACACCAGAAACTTTTCGAATATAAATATGAGTTAATCTTAAAAAAAAAAAACCTTACATTTTGTGTTTTTTTCAAATTAAAGCTCAAATTTATTTTTGCCTGAAAAAAAAAAAAAAAAAAAAACTTGTATTTTTTCATTTTTTTCCCAAAAAAAACCCTCAACTTTGTATTTTTTTCCGAAAAAAACCTTCAACCTTCTAAATGCTTCCAAATAAACCCTCAACTTTTTTAGTTTTTCTCGAAAAAAAAAAAACCTTACACTTCACAACTTTTTTTCGCAAAAAATGACTAAAAGGGCCAAATCAGGAAAAAATAAATTTTAGGTTTCATCTGTAAAAAAACACAAAATATAAGGTCTTTTTTAGACTAATTTTAGAGTGTATATAACTAAAATATAACAAACATAATTAAAATCATAATAATACGAAGTGGAAGAATAAAAATAACAATAAGAATGGCACTTCATCAGTTTTGGACTTTTGGTGTAATAAAGGGTAAAATGGTAAAATATTAAAATACCTGTGGAAAAATTCAAGGCCAGTCAACGCGCGTCTAGCAGATTCACGTTTTTGCACATTAAGGAATCCAATCATCCGACGAACTAAAGCTGTATACGCAAGACACGCGCTATTTCTAACTTCCCAATAATTCGAAGAAAACGAGCGTATACAAATAATCATAGCCTCAGCGGAAAACCCAGAAGTATCAGTCGCAAGATTCGTATCATTAAACGCTGCTTTAAGAACATTGAACGCATGTACTGTTGGAATCACGCCTTCATCTCGGATCTTTGGGTCCGATTTGGATCCGGATCCAGATCCAGATTCGTTTTGATTGGTTATGGATTTGTTGGATAGATCGATTAGCCAACGTAAGGCGCGTGGGAGGAGTCGCTTTGGTGTGCCTTCGGGTTCTGAAAGGAAAAAGGCGATGAATGCAGCGGGAATTCCCGCGCTTCTTCTTAGTAAGTCGTCTACTGTTTGTCCTTTCGCTATTGTTCTTTCCATTAGCTGTTCCATCCATGATTCCGGTAATTTGCTAAGTCTGGAATGTGAAGATGGAATTAATTACAACGATGGAATTAGGGAAGGAATGTGTACAATAGAAAAGTGAATAAATGAATACAGAAAAAAAAAATGTATAAATATATGATTTATAAAGGATTAATCTTATAAAAGACCTTATATTTTGTGTTTTTTTCCAGATTAAACCTAACCTTTATTTTTTTTTTCTGAAAAAGACCTTGGATTTTTTCATTTTTTTCAATCTGGCCCTTTTACTTTTTTTTTCGGGTTTTATGTAGAAAAGGAAAATTTTTGATAAAGTCCTAAATGTATTTTTTTTAAACAGAAAAATCTCATTATTTTGGGAAAATCACATAATCTTTCATTTCCTGTTAAAAAAAAATCTTTTTCACTAGTTTTGGCAAAATGTTAAATAATCAGGTCTTTTATGTTCAAAAAAAAATTATAACTTTATTAAAAAATTTCCCAAATAATGGCACTTTTCTGCATAAAACCTTTTTTTTTTTCAAAAGCTCTTGTCAAATGGGAGGGTTTTATTCGGAAAAAACTAAAAAAGCTGAGTGTTTTTTCCGAAACAGTTGCAGGTTGAGGGTTTTTTTCGGAAAAAAGAAAAGACAAAATTGAGGATTTTATTTGGAAAAAATGAAAAAATACAAAGTCTTTTTCAGGAAAAAAAAATAAAGTTAGAGGTTTAATCTGGAAAAACACAAAATATAAGGTCTTTTATAAGATTAACCCTTTTATAAAAACAAAAAATGCATATAAACGTATTTCATGTTGCTTGAAATGTATATACTATATTTACTTCAAGTAGTCAAAAAAAATTAATTATCACTTCGAAAAAACTGTTTACAAAAGAAGTTGAATAAAATTGAATACCATGAAATCTTGAAACGGGAAAATTATAATTAACAAATATTTTTAGTTATGTATAGCAAAAAATAACAAAAAGTAATTTAACTGAAGTTTTGAAATATCATTGTTATTTAAGATTTATTTAAATAAAAAAGTAATTTATACTAGTAATAACATATAATTCCATTCCATCAAGGAATGAAAAGAAAACAACAATACTCCTCCATGGAAAGGAATCACATTCCATTAAGAATCCTCCATTCCATTCCTATGTTAAAAAAAGTAGGATTTTTTTCACTCCATTCCATTCTATCCAAAACAAACAGATAGAATTCCAAAAACATACCTTGGATTATCTGAGCAAAGTAATCGATTGCATAAAGCAGTAAAACCTGCCCTAGTTTTATCAATTGCACCATTATGCTTCATTTTCATTAGAACTTCCAAAAAGTGATTCCCAATAGTCTCTAGCTGATTGAAATCCAACACAACATCATCCGAATCCCTTGATATATCTGATGTAGGCAAAGGAATTTTCCTTATAATAGTTCCCAAAAGAAGACTCACCTGAGAATCACATAACAAACAACTTAATTAAAACTGATTACATGATACTAAATAGGGAAAATAGTACAAAAGTCACTATGTTTGCACCAAAATTCTAATTTCACACTGTTTTTTTTTGTCTCAATTTTGACATTGTGTTTTCTAATTTTTTACAGTTCTGACCATTTTACGGCCTGCTGACATGGCATGATGACGTGTCAGTATTGATGACGTGGCATGCTGACGTGTTAAATTTGAATTTTTTTTCCACAAAAAACACTAAGTTTTCACTTTTTTCGATTTTGATACTAAGTTTTAATTTTTTTTTCAATTTTGACACTATTTTTTTGTTCCAAATCGAATATCATTTTTTTCCAATTTTCTTTAATGTAAAAAAACCTTGTAGTTATACAAAAATGTGGTTTTTAAATGAAAAAAATTATTTACACGCTTTAAAATGTAATAAAAAAAATATTTATACGGCTTCAAATGGAAAATGGTCAACATTGAACAAAATTTTAAAAAAAAATAACAAAAAAAATAGAGTGTCAAAATTGAAACAAGAATTAAAACTATTTCAAAATTGAAAAAAGTGAAAACTTAGTGTCTTTTGTGGAAAAAAAATCAATTTTAACTCGTCGGCATGTCATGTCCGCATGCCACGTCATCAAAACCACATGTCATCATGTCACGTCAGCAGACAACCGAGTTGACCAAGTAAAATGGTCAGAATTGTAACAAACTGGAAAACACAGTGTCAAATTTAAGACAAAAACACACACACACACACACACGCGGTGTCAAATTAGAATTTTGGTGTGAAATTAGTGACTTTTATGCTATTTTCCCTATTAAATAACAAGTTTTAGATAATGAGTAATTGAGTATTGAGTATTGAGTACCTCTTTCATTGCAAGCCAACAACCAACCATAACAACTTGATCAGAAGGTCCAACATCCTGCACCAATTTTGACCCATTCCTTTCTTTTTCAGCATCCACGTCAGCATTACCTTCCCCCCACATGTAAGAATCATCATCAACATCCACAAGGTCATCCTCATCCATGTCAGCAGGTATATGCCATGCATCAGCCGAAACCACAGAAAGAGCCATTGAAGTAATTCTCATAATCAACTCAAGAAGCTTCTCAAATGCACACTTCATTCCATAAACATTATCACAACTCCAATCAAGCTCCTCAAAACCATAACGAAGTGTTAGCAAAATCCCATGAACAAAACTGTTCTTACACGCATCTGAAAGATCATGTTCTCCCATTTCAACAGCAGATTGCAACCAATCAATAAGACATGTCACATATTCCACAACAGGGGAATTGAAACAAGTTTTGGAATCATCATCAGAAGAAGAAGAAGAAGAAGAAGACATAACAACATTAGAAGATGTGTTCACAATCCATCCGAGGTCTAAAACGTATTTTCTAAAGATAAGTCTCATTGTTAATGATCCAGCATCACTTTCTCTAACACGAGGACTATAAACTAACTTCTTAGCCCAGATAATTACATCTTTGACTTTTTCTGTGGTCAAAATTCCAGGAAGTGGAGTTGGAAAATTGAGAAGAATGCGAAAAGGAATTCTCTCTTAATCGATCCCAGCTGTCAACAATTGATCCCACTAGCAACAAAGTTGATTCAGGTGATGTGAACTTCGCATCATATGGAGTTATGGTTTCAGAAGGGTGTTTTTGTAAAATTGGCCAAGTGTTGTTCATTATGAGGATAAGTTCCATTGCCATTATTTTCCTCTCGTATGGAGCTGAAGGGTAGCATGAGAAAAACAAGAAGGTGCTCAACCACTTCATGAAATGGAAAAGTTCTTCTGCTTTTTTGAAATTGGAATCTTTTTCTTCTTTATAAAGAATGTTCCCATTGTTAGGTTTCCATGTTCCTTGTTTGATTTGTCTCTCTAATGCAGTTTTAACACGTGAAAAGAATTTTCTAAACAAACTTGTTAACTTCATTTGAAAAGATGTTGAGGAGCATCTCATGTTTAATGGCATTGCTTCTTTCATCATGCTTAGCTCTAAAGAAGATGGAAGACTTGCTGTTTTAGGGTTTAAAAAGAGGGATTCTACTGCATCTGTTCGAAGAGACTCATCAACATGAGTTAAAGCCAAGGTTAGCCAGTTTACAAGGACTTTGACCTTTATACCCTTTACACAGACAAGGGCGTATTCGGAATCTGTATTTGCTTCAGAACTCTCGAATCTATCAATATCTCCTTCTATCAAAGCAAGAGAACGTGAAACTTTGAGGAGTGAAACAAGAACAGCTACCTTTTGTTCAACTGTGAGATTCAGATTTCATATTTGAATCTGTAAAAGAGAGTAAAGTGTCTTCTCCAATAGATATAAAAGAAAGCATTGAAAATATACTGTCAACATCCACTTCAAGAATCACTGGAAACGCATATGTGTTTAAATTTGACCTTAGCTTTGAGTTTCCAGAAGCAAGCCCGTGTAAAAACGGAGGCAAAAGGGCATTTCTGTAATTTCTAGACCCGATTTCCACTCCATCAGAACTCCAGAATTCATCACGCAAAGATGCAAGAAAACATTTCAAGAAAGTGGTGGAAGCACAACATACATCATCATCAACATATGCCCATGCTGTTTCAAACATCATATCAGGATTCATTTCTAAAATCCTTTTTGCTCCAAGTCTTTTTGTAAGAGAAGCTAATGGGACATATCTACCCTTGCAACGTCCACCCATTCGAAGAAGATTGGAAGCAATCTTTCTTAAGAACAATTGGATTTTATCTTTTCCATTTGTTGAAGGGAGACTGGATTGTATGTCTAGATAGATATCAAAAATCAAATGAACTTGTTTCACAGTTTGGCTTAATGGATCTTCAAGATTGTTCCATATAATTCTTAATACACGGGCACCTATGTCATCTGAAATGGGATTATGATTCTTTGCATCATCAATGTAAGTGGTTTGTATCAGAGTTTTTATCTGTTGCAGACAAATCTGCATCACTGTTAATGCATGAAAATTGAAGTGGCTATCGGTTGGATTCTCACAATATTTGCACAGCTCAGGTAAGATGCCATTGTAAAGTATCGTTTCACAATCTTTAGAACCACATTCAAATGGAATATCGAGTAATGTTCTAGGTATTGAAGTTAGGATGCCTCTAATCAAACATAGCCTACTGAGAAGAGAGAAACTCTGAATTTCTGAAAACAGATTCCCTTTGTATGGAATCTTCATGACAACAGTTTGAAATGTGTTACTGGGATTTAAAGAATGATGAAAGATACCTTCCATAAGTGACAATCCAAGTTCTTCAGGACAGAGACACACTTGTAGAGCTGCACAAAAGCTCACTCCTGCAGCCACGAAGCAATCCCTTGAAAACGCTTCAGATTTCAAAATACTTAAAATGGTGGTGAGGATCGTCTCCATGATATTGGAATCATGTAATCCAATCAAACTGGTGAATCTAGAAGGACATCGCTGAAGCAAGTAATAGGTACAAGATAAAGCCTCTTGGCATTGTTCCATAACGATTGGTGATGGCCTACACCAATCATTAGTCTCTAAAACGACACTTTTCAAACTGGAAACCACATCTAAACTCATTAGAATCGCACATTCTTCAACAACTTCCACTAGATACCCAAGTTTTGGGGAGCTCATCATCGACAGACCTACACGTGAAACACAAAACCTCTTCCTTTTTTCATTTCCATTCCCATTCAAATCTGCATACTCTTCGCATAGAGAACGAAAGCAATCACCGATTACAGACTGGAAATCTCTAGTTTTCGCAAGAACAGAAACCAGAGTTCTGTGTAATGGTACAGAGTTTTCGAGGAACAGGATCTCGAGGTAGAATCTGGACGCTTGAGAAACAACGATTTCATTGCTGATTTTAAGTAGCTCTGTGAAAGCGGAGGCGAGTTTTTTAGCGTGACTGAGTTGTGCGTAGGTTGACTTGAGAGAAACGAGTTCATTGAGTTGTGAGTAGAACACACGAGTGGATGCATCATGGTCTTGAGATACAGACAAGTTAATGAAGTCGTTGAGACTTTGCTTGTAGTATTGAGGAAAGACGATTGCGCTGTAAGTGTAGCGATGACGATGCTGTAAAGCTCGCCATTTCGCAGACATGGTAGAGTCACTTGAAATAAGTATAGGAGGTTTAGGATTTAAGCTGATACTGATGGAAACGTCAACAATGGCAACCTGCAAGTGCGAAAGTTCCGGCAGGCTTAGCGCAGCCTTCTTTCTCTCTCCCTACGGCGGCGAGAGGGAAGGAGAGGCGAGCTTGATTTTGCAAAGAAAGATACGGCGGGTTTTCAGAGATTTTAGGGTAATTTTTGCTTTATTTGAAGCACCAACTTAAATTTATGGAAATGTTCATAAAAGAACCAACATTTCAAAATTTTAAGTTATAAGATTGGGATAATGACACTCTATTTTATTAAATTTTTGGTTTTGGTTATTTTTTGATTTCATGTGGCATTAAGAATGTCTAGGTTTTGGTTTAAAAGAAGTTACTTTTTGGTTTTTTTAGGCATAAAATAGATGTTGACCATTTTTTTTTCACTCATATTTAATATAATCGGTTTCATAAGTCACGTAAGTACTTGAAGCTTATATGATTTCCTTGGCATCCCAATAAAATGTAACTTGAAGAAAGTCATCCCCAATAAATTAAATCACAAATTATTCATCTAATCGAAAAAGCGTCATTTAAAATCATTTTCGAGACTCCAATGAAAATTAATCGGTCGAAGCTTTACTTCATACTTGAATCCTCTTCAAGATTGATTCCAACGAAAATTCACTAAAAATTGAAACTCGCATCTAGGCCCATCATAGAAAAGAGCAACTTGACTCACAGCCAATTTCGATCCTTTTTCATCTCACTGAAAACCATCGAAACTTTATATCCTTCATTTAAATTCGAAACAACAATTTCGATTCACTTCACTCATCGAATCGATTGGACATTATTTTTGGAGCAAATTGGTCCCAGGCCACTCCTCCAATTTTGTTCACAAGTGTAATATATATATATATATATATTATATATATATATATATATATATATTATAGATGCAACTGTTGTCCAAAAAAAAGTTATAGGTGCAACTCCAATTTTTAAGACTAGGTAAGACCACACCAAGCTAGAAATAAAATATTAGCCCACAGCCCATTTAAACCTAATACTCAATTACCTAGTTATGGGTGTAGCCATAAGCCACATCTATCAGTACAGAGAGAAGCAAAGAAAGAGAGAGAGGAGAGAGAGAGAGAGAGAGAGAGAGAGAGAGAGAGAGAACTCATCTCTGCCTCTCTGTGAAGCTGCGACAGAAACATCAACAGGAAGAGAAAAAAATTCCAATTTTTATCCCCAAGCTCCATTGCTCTAAGCTATTTTAATTTTGCTCCAACTCTCCAAACTATTTCAATTTTGTTCTCTTCAATCCTACGATGAAACAAGTAAGTATTTATATTTTTAGGTTTATAAAATTATTCAAATTAGTTGCTTTTTTGATGAAATTTCTTATTGTTTAGGTGAAATTAGTAGTTGTTTATCTTGAAATTAGTTGTTGAATTGTTGTTACTTGTTAGATACTTAGATTGTTAGATAAATTGATTGCTTACTTGTTTGATATTGAATTGTTAGGATAAAATTGGATCTTTTTTTGGAAGAACAAGCATCAATAAATCAAGTGTTGGAGAATCCTCCAAAAGACCATGCTCCAATGATTTAAGTTTGGAAGGATCCTCTAAAATAACATGTCCTTCTAATCAATCATTCTCTTTGGTTTCTAATGTAAATCCACAACCTACAGCTACTCCAATTACAAGTGTTGAATTGAAAGATCTTCCAAATGACCCAGGTGTTAGACCAGAGATTACAACTTACAATCCAAATCAAAGAGATGAAATAAGGAGGGCATATTTGCTTCAAGGTCCTTGTCAACCAAGAGGTCATATATTCCCTTCAAAGAAAATAGATACAAAAGAAAGATGTTTTGTTGTTAAGTGGTTTGATGACTTTGATTTGTTAGAGTATAGCATAAAATAAAACAAAGCATTTTGTTTATTTTGCTATGTATGTGGAGACATGGTGGGAAAACAAAAATGGGAGAGATGC